TCAACGCTTTTTGGCGCTTTAAACGAGATTTCGGCATGCGCGCGCGACAGCGCGCGCGTTTGCACTTCGCCACTGTTGGTTGCAAGGGGGCTCCTGACTACTGACAATTTGTGATGAACGAGCGCGCGCGTCATTTTCCCAGAAGCGATGGCGGGGGCGTCGCCTCCGGTTGGGCCGGGGTGGCATGGGTTTAAATGTAGAGTGACTAATGCGGCAGAATCATATGTAAGTTCTGCGACGCAGAACGGGGGCGGATAATCCCGGGGGAGGGCGAATCCAAACTCCCCCCGCAAAAAAAAGAAGCCCGCGCCGCGCAATCTCCGCGGCGGAGTAACTTTGGAAACTTGGTGTTGTCAGCCCCGCTGCTCGCGCAATCGCCCCGCCCGTCCGCCGCCCGAACTTGGGTTTGCAAAGTGCCGTGCCCTAGCGCTGCCCACTTGCAATTCCCCCGGCAGCGCGCGGCAGGGGGTCGGAAGGGGGGGGGGGGGGCGGGGGGGGGGCGCCGCCTTTCAGGCCACTGCGGCGCTCGGCAATGGAAAACCAAGGGAACGCGGCGATCGCGCCACCGACTCTGAGGGTGGACTCCGAAGCCTGGGCGCGGGGGTCGACGGGGCAGAGGAGATCCCCGACATCGCGCTCATCACCGCGCGCCCCGTGCGCAGCAACAGCGCAGCCCTCCAAAAAGCGGTGGCGGAGCAGTTTCGCTTTGCGAGCCCGCGGAGCACGATCGCGATGAAACGGCGCCCTCGCGTTCCGGGAGACCACCCGCGCGGAGAAGCGCCGGCGGCCGTTCTCCAGTTCCAGCACTCTGCCCACGCCGCAAGGCGCTCAGGCTGTTAGGGCCCCAGGAAGCTCCGGCCGCCGGGCCGCGGGCGCCCGCCGCTAGTCGGCGACGAACCCGACGCGGATCCATGCTCTCCGGGATGACGTTGCCGCTGGCCCAGCGAAAGCCGGGGCTGTCTTGGCCGCCGACGGGGGCGGCCTTGACGATCGGCTTCCACCGTGCTGGGACTTCGCCATTGAGGCGGTCGATGGATAGAAGCACACCTCTATGGGAAATCGGCGAAGAGTGCGGCTTCGACCTTTCTGCGTCCAATTTTTGCGCGCGGCGCGGCCGGCTTCTCGTCGATGCCCGCGAGGACGTTGACGGGGCAGTCGGGGACAGATTGGGCGAAGAATTGGCGTCGGGTCGGAGGGGTGATTCCAGGGCCAGATGTTTTTGATCGCGCCCAAGAATTGTTTGACCTTGCGCTCGGCGAGGCGGCAGGGTCCTCCGAAGCGCGAGGTGCCGGCGCCCGCGGGGTCTTCTCGTCGAAGGCGCGCGCGTCGCCATTCATGTCTCGGTCCGCGAGCCAGCTCCGCAGCGCCTCCTGCGTTGCGTGATTGGCCGCCAGCGTCGGCGCGCAAATGACCGCCGCCGTCGGACCGACGGGGCGGTCAAAGTCGAAGCCAGCAGGGCGGCGCGGGGGGTGAGGTTTTTCACTTCGCGCGCCCACCAATTCTATTCGAAACTGTTGAATATGTGCTTCGAGCTCGTTGGGTCGATGATCGTGGGCGCCCGCCCGCTGCTCCACTCCGCTGGTGCGTATCAACATTTTACGACTGAGGCTGGTGAACGACGTCCAAACACTGCTAGACAAATACGCGAGGGAGCTCTGAGCTTGGACCGAACTGGTCCAAATTGAGGCCTGAAGATTCGCTTGGATATTGTCCGCATGAGCACGCATTGGTCCGAGGTCGTCGATGGCGCCACCGCCGCCCTGCCGAAGCTGCTGGGCGCCAGGAAGTGGAGGGAACCCTTTAGGAAATCCATGTATCTGAGACAGCTTCAGATTGATACTGGGGACGCATGCGGCGATACCTTCCAATTCCGGAGAGAGCTGGCCACTGCTCGATGCGCCAGACGAGAGGATGGCGGCGCCCTTTCCTTTGTCTTTGGCGGAGATTGCAGCACGCTTAGTGTCGGAGGATTCGTTCTTGGCAGCACGAACAGCACCGGGGCCAGCGGCGCCACGTACGGGGGTAGAGGCTTCGGTCTGAGACGGGAAGGTCGGCGCGAGGTCGAGGAGATCCAGGTCTGCCTCCGTCGCTGCCAGGATGCCAGTGTCCATCTGCTGTTTGGGTGGGGCGCCGCCATTGCCACTCATCGCGCGCAAGTTACCTGATAGCCGCACCCATAACAATGAAATGTCGTGGCCAGGGTCAGAGCTCCCCCTTGGCCACCTGAATGGCCCTTCGAGTGGAGAGGGGGAGCGTGAACAAAAACGGCTGCGGGGAGCCTGGTACTCCTGGACCACCTCGACAAACGGCTTACTTGAGCCATAATGACTACGGTTTCCTCCTCCTCCTCCTCCTCCATCTCATTTCCTTCCCTCTTCCCGTCTCCCTCCCCTCTTCCTCCCTCTTCCTCCCTCCCTCCCCTCTTCCTCCCCTTCCTCCTCGTCCTCCCCCTCCTCTCTCGCCTCCTCCTCCTCGTCGCCCCCCCTCCTCGTCAATCCGCAGTCCTTATACATCATTCCTCACTATCGCGCCTCGAGGCGTGTCCGAAGGGCGGGCCATGCGTTTCGCCTGAGACTTCCTCACATCGAATGGTCCTTACGACGATGAATTGCAAGATCTTCGCGAATGACTGGCGGGCCGGTTCCCAAATGTGGCTCTCGCATTGGCGCCGCGCACACTCGGTTTAAACATGTGCAACATATTCACGGATGAAGGGCGGACCATTCTCAAACTGTGAATCTCGCCTTGGCGCTGCGCACATTCACCCGATAATGTTGCAAAGGTTTCACACATGGAAGGCGGTTCCTTTTCAGACTGTTGCGATCGCCTTAGCGGCGCGCTTATTCTTTTGAAGCGTTTGCTGGATATTCGTGGATGGAGGGTGATATATTTTCAAAATGTGGCTCTCGCATAAGCCGTGCGCATTCGTTTCAAGAGTTTACAGCAGTGCCATTGATTGCTATGGTTTACATCCCAGATACGGTCTTATGTTTAGCGCGATGTATGTACGTCGAGGCACAATCGTTACGTAAATTCGTGTTGTTCAAGTCCCAGGCACCCTTCCTGGCAAGGTTCAGGATCGTAATGACGCAAGAGTATATGCATCCGCTGCGTTGTAGTCCCAAAAATGGTGGTGACGCACGGTTCCGAATTTTCGAACGATTGTCCTCCAACGGGGCATTTCCCTGGATTAAGCTGAATTCTTGTTGTGACCTAGGAGGAAGGAGTTTGGAGGAATGGCCGATTGCAACATCGTTGATATGTCTTGTGCTTACATTGGTCCTTATCCTTTTCCTCTTCCTCCTCCTCCTTCTCCTAATTATCCTCCCCCTGCTGCTCCTCCTCCTCCTCCTCCTCGTCCTCCTCCTCCTCTCTCGTCATCTCCTCCTCCTCCTCCTCCCCCTCCCCCTGCTCCTGCTCCTCCTGCTCCTCCTCCTCCCCCTCCTCCTCCTCCTCCTCCTCCTCCTCCTCCTCCTCCTCCTTCTCCCCGGCACCCCTCCCCCCCTCCTCTTCCGTCTCCTACTCCCTCGCCTGTTCCTCCTCCTCCTCCTCCTCCTCCTCCTCCTCCTCCTCCTCCCCGCCTTCCGCCTGCTCCTCCGGTTTGCGCGGGTTTGTTGCGCAGCGCGCAGCTTTGTTGCGACGCTTGCATCTTCCCCGACAGGCCGAGCTGCGGGGCGCAGCAGGGGGCGGCAGCGGGTCTTTCCTCGCTTACCCAATCACGTCCTCTCTGCGCGCTAGGAGGGCGCTCTCCGGGCAGACTGGCGCAAGGCGACCGCTGCAGCCATCGCGCGCGGAGCTCTGCCAACAGGAGCTTGCGACGGCGGGGGCCGCCTGCTGCTTGCGCGGCGCCGGCGGAGCTGAATGCGCCGTGGAGCTGGGCGACCACGCCCTCGCCTCCCAGCTCGTCGGGGGCATGGAGCGCCACGGGGGACTCAACCGGAGGGTCGGCGGCCTCGTCCAGCGCTGGCTCGGCGAATGCCCCACTTCACCAGAGGATGCCGATCTGGGACCGCCACCGCGCGGACGGCCGCCTCGAAGGCGCAGTCCTGGACTTGGAATACAAAGACGACGGCCAGCACTGGCTCGACGCTTCTGTGCGCCACTCCGCCGCCGGGACCCAGGCCGAGCTGCGGGTGGCCGCGCGGCGGGGCGGGGAGGCTTGCCGCCGCGGGGAGCAAGACAAGCACTCCCGCCACCCCGGCGCCAGGCTGACGCCGTTCGTCCTCGAGGCGGGAAGGCGGCTCGGCGCCGAGGCCCGCCTGTGGCTGCTTGGGCAAGTGCGCCTGCTGCAAAAGGGCCAGAAACCGCGGGAGCTAGCACGGGCCCACTAGGTCCCCAGCTGCGGCTTGCAGGCTGCCGCAGCGCGCCAGCTCCGCAAGGCGGCTGGCCTGCGCTAGGCGGAGCCGGGCAGCTGGCGGCCCGCGGCCGCCGCAGCGGGCGCTAACGATGCCAGCAGCGCGCCGGTTGCCGCGCGCCCCGAACGACGGCAGGCGGAGGGCGCCGCCCGGGGGACACCGCTGGCCAGGCTCGGCGAGGGAGCTGCTGGCGGGGCTGGGCGGCGACAAGCGGCGGGCGCTGGTGCCGGCCGGACCCACGGACAGCCACTACTGCTTCCTCGCCGTCGCCCTGGCGCTCACGGATAGCGCTGCTAAAGAACCTGTCTGGCGCAACCCCTCCGTCTGGGAGCGACCGCCGTTCGAGCCCAGACCACACGGCGGTTGCTGCCGAGGTGGGGTGGAACCGGCTCCCAGCCAAGCTTCGCTGGCCTCCCCCTCCTCCTCTTCCTCCTGCTTCTCCTGCTCCTCCTCCTCCTGCTCCCCGCCGCCCCCCCCTCCTCCTCCTCCTCCTCCTCCTCCTCCTCCTCCTCCTCCTCCTCCTCCTCCTCGTCCTCCTCCTCCTCCTCCTCCTCCTCCTCTTTTATCTTTGTGTTTTCTCCTCCTTCTCCTCCTTTCCTCCTCTTGAGCGGCCCCTTTTGAAAGAGGCGCCCTCGGCCCCTGGAGGTCCCGTGTCGTGAAGCCACGCCGTCGCCTGGTAGCACAGGTCGCCAGGCCGCGCGTCCTGGCAGCTCGCCTCGTGGGCCTCGCTTGCGCCCAGGACCTGGAGAAGGGGAGGAGGGTGGAGATCGTATCGACTCGGCAGGATGACGCGTCGTGCCCTTCAGCGCCGTCTGGCCCCCTGTTCTCTTTCTTGGGGGCCGCATGGATGGACCTTTGAACTCAAAATCAAGTATGGCTCTATTCATATCTCGCCCTGCCGGGCGGTCAAAAACTACCCAGGCCCCAACCTTCCACCCTCAGGAGCGGGGGAAGGGAGGGGGGCAGAGCGGGGGGAGGGATGCAGGGGAGGTACAAAAAGGCGTTTCAAGACGGCCCAATGTGGCCCCAAGACAGCTCAAGAGGCATCCCCTACGAGAAACGCATATGTTCAGGACATTCGCCCCTTCAGTTTGCGCAGCGACCAAGACGGCCCAGGAGGCCTCCAAGATCGCCCCACGATTCCGTGCAGCCCCAAAGGGGGTCCAGGTAACAGGGGCGTGTGTCAAAAAGTCAGCTGGCACTGCAATATCAGACGGGTCGGTGCGAAAATGATTGCGCCCTTGCACAGTTCGTCACAACGTGTGCCTGCAAACGGCCTCGACACATGCAAAGGAATGAGGCAGACGGCAGACAGGCGTGTCGGATTGCTTTCGCAAAGCTCGGCGGCCCATCTGCGGCCGTAGTCGCATCAGGAGTTGGCGTGCTTGGCATGGAGTGCTTTGTCCGACACAGAACGAGCGTTGAAGTTGCAACGCGCGCGGACGACGTATTGCATATGCAGCGCAGACAGGCAATGTTATTGCAAATGTATAGCGCCAGAGAAATCTATTGCATTGTGTGACGACAGGCGAATTGCACGCGCAACACACGCAAGTCGAGCAGTACATTTGCGCTCCTGAGCAGATTGACGCCCCACATCTACTGAAGCACCTCAACTGTATTGCAATGTACTGCAGCTGGTGGGTTGCATTGCGCTGATGCGCTGGCCGATTGCGGCGTGACCGTCCAGATCCTACCTGATCGCCTAGAGAGCCCGCGAGCAAAGGACGTATGGTGCCTAATAGCGGTTTCCGACCCCAGTGGCTGAATCGGAAGCCCGCTCGCAAATTAAGGGTTGGCCTTGGCACGTCGAATTCGGAACAGTTTCAAGACCCCAGCAATAAAAGCTCCTGGTGCGAATTGTTTGTGACAGCCACATCATGCGAATGCGCCATCGTGACGAACCAATTCAGAACTCCAGAATCACGACCCTCTTCTACCTGGACCACCTTTTGACTGCCAGAAACAAACGGCCCAAGAGGCCCCCAAGATGGTCCAAAGATGGTTCAAAGAGCTCCAAGACAGCCTAAGAGGCGCCTGAGACGGCCCAAGGCAGCCCCAAGATGGGCCTAGGAAAAGCAACACGAACTCACATTCAGCTGCTGCTGCTGCTGCTGCTGGGCGCTCTCAGGAACTCCTGAGAACTTCCAGGAAGCATCCCACGAAGCACGGCACGAGATACGCCACCAAACGCCTCACGAAACACCCCGCGAAACACCCTGCGAAGCAGCAGGCGAAACATTCCACAACACGCCCATGACATACCCGGCGGCACACCCCACAAAACACAATGCGACCCATGAGAAAGCCTACGGAACACCCGACGAACTACCTCACGGAAGACCCCGCGAGACACCCCTGTGAAACAACCGAATACGTGCCTCACACAACACATCACGAACACACACACACACACACACACCATGAAACACCCCACGAAACACCCCGCGAAACACTTCACACAACACTCCACGATCACGAAACAGCCAACGACTCACCCCACGAAACATAACACGAAGCAGCCAGCGACACACTGCACTCCACGACAATTCCTATGAAACACCTCGGGAAACACACCGCGAAACACCCAATAGACCTTTTCAGAAACTTTCGAGACGCATCCCAACAGACTCTCGGATGCATCGGCGAGGCCTCAGACCCACGACCCAAGCTGAGTAGGGGATTGGTCCGTAGGCCACTCGATGCCTTTTAGTACTTATTTCTGCTGTTCAGGATATTCTGCCGCCAATTTGCGCGTCGCCGCCTTTTCGGTCTTAGGACCGTCCAGGGCGTCCCGAGAAACCCCCGAATATGCGACAAAACGGCTCCAAGGGCCCCAAGAGTGGCCCAAGGGGCCCCCGAGATGGCTTCAAAAGGGCCCAAGAAGGGAAACGCGGAGTGAAATCTGGAGCCCATCCCGAAATGACCCCTGAGGTGGCCTCCAGTTCCCCAAGAAGGCTTCAAAAGGCCCCAGAGGCCACACCCAAAACCTCATGTCAACGACCCAAGCGAATTGTTGCTTAGTGTTTCCGAATCATCTGCCGACCCTGTCGGCGTGTGTGGAAGGCTGTTTTCTAAAGATCGTTCTTCTCTGCGTTCATGTCGGCTTTGTTTCCTCATGTGCGGCTGTCCGATGGATACCAAACGACGTCGGAATAATAGACAACATGGGGAACCTCTTCCCTTAGATCCCTTCCCTGCCTTCCCCGCCCTACCGACTGAGCTCGACGGCTCTAGGGTCATATGTGGGCCAGTTCAGCCCTTTTTCGCCAACTTGCGTCCAAGACGCTCCACAAACCCCCTCAACGGTCCAATATCGCCCCAACACCACTTTCGACGCCTTCGACACAAACAGATGATCCGGGCGAAAGGCCCAACCTTATGCAGCCGCGAACACCGCGAGGAACGTGAAAGGTAGGACGGGGGCTGACAAGAGGATTGGGGCGTGGGCGAGGAGACAAGCGTACACAGGCGTGCGGCTTCGGCAAGGAGCTGGGTTTCACCTGACCTTAGAATCCGCCCTCCCGAATCCCGTTCTCCGTCGACTGCCCAACTGTCTGGCCTCGCGCCGCTGACGACCCGCGCGCGTCGCCGGAATCCTGTCGGGCCGACCAGCGCGCGTCGCGGGGACTCCCCTGCGCTATGCCTCCACATGCTGCCCGACACCCGCGCGCTCTGCATGGCGCTTCGCCTCTTGTCAACCACCCGCTTTATTTGACACCGCGCCACGCACGGCCCGCGCGCCTTGCTCGAACTCTTTCGGGGCGACCAGCACGCGTCGCGCAGCGTTCGCGGTGTGTGTGTGTGTGTGTGTGCCGAATCGAACGCAAGTACGCCATAGGGGACCCTGCCGTCGGGGCGTTTTTGTGGAGCTCGCTACGGGGCCACGAAGCGTGTTAGAGCTCCCTGTGGGCCCACGAAGCGTATGACAGATGTGGCGGCATGGGTGCGGTGACATCATGCGAACCCTGCCGCTGAGGATTTCGGTGGAGCTCTCTTGGGTCCACGAAGCGGGCGAGGGGTGTGCCGACAAGGGCGCAGTCGCGCCATGCGAACCCTGCCGCTGAGGCCTTCGGTGGAGCGCCCTTGGGTCCACGAAGCGTGCGAGGGTTATTCCGAAATCGGCGCAGCGGCGCCATGCCAGCCCTGTCACTGAGGCCTTCGGTCAAACTCCTTATGCGGCCACGAAGCGTGTGAGGTGGCGCCATGCGAACCTTGCCGCTGAGGGTTTCGGTCGAGTTCCCTGTGGGGCTACGAAGCGCGTGCTGGGGGCATGCCGACATCGGCGCGGTGGCGCCATGCGAGCCCTGCCGCCAGGGGCTTCGGTGGAGCTCCCTATGGGGCCACGAAGCGTGCGAGGGGCATGCCGACATCGGCGCGGTGGCGCCATGCGAACCCTGCCGCCGGGGGCTTCGGTGGTTCTCCCTATGGGGCCACGAAGCGTGTGAAGGGTGTGCCGAAATCGGCGCGGCTGCGCCATGCGAGCCCTGCCACTGGCGCCTTCGGTGGAGCTCCCTATGAGGTTATGAAACGAGTGACGGTTGTGGGGAAATTGGCGCGGCGGCGCCATGCGAACCCTGCCACTGGGGCCGCTTCTTGTTTTTCTTCATCCCCCGCGCGGCGCATGCTGCGCGCGCCGTTCGCGACTGGGCCGAAGGGCGCCCGTGTTGGGCCACCTCTCGGCCGCGCAACTTTGCGGCCGTCCAACGCCCTCGCCAACGTGGCTCTGAGGGCCTGCAGCGCCGCTCGAGGTCGCCCACCAGGAAGAAGTGAGGCGCCTCTGCGGCTTCCTCATTGTGGGTCCCAGGCCAGCACTGACCAGCTCGACCTCCCCCCGCCTTGCCCTGAGCGCCTCGCCCGCGGCTGGCTGGCGCTCTCCTGCAAGCGCCCTGCGCTTGCCCTTGATCTCTCTCGGGCAGCAAAGGTACCCCTTTGCGCGCGCGGCATCCGCCGATGGAGCACAGGTCGCGCTCGCCGGCGACGCCCCGGGAACTGGGGCCCGAAGCCGCTCCGGCACCGCTGCCTCCGTCTCCTTCGCCCCTCGGCCCAGGGCCGCCCGAGGCAGGGGGCGACGGGGTCGTCTGCCTCGGGCAGCTATGGCCGCGGCGACAGCCCCCGTCGCAGGCGCAGCCGAAGCTGGCCTCCCGCGCTTCGCCCCGCGGGCGTCCAGGGCGAGGGGCGCCTCGTTGCAGGCGGGCGTGGCCGCAAAGCTTCTTGATGCCGTTGACGCCCCATGCTGACCTGAGGCGCTCGACGCAACGCACCCCTTCCGCTGGCGATCTCGGTCGTCTCGTGCGTCGTGGGCGAGAGGGGCGGCCCATTGCAGCACTCCTTGCAATTCCCGTCGATTTCCAAGGGGGGGCGAGCCGCCGCCCCCCCCCCCCCCCCCCGCGGCGCCATGCCAGCGTGCCACTCCGCCCAGAGGAAGGCCCCTGACCTGAAGCGCCGCCCGGGCGCCGGAATGGGGGCGGAAGACCTGAGCAGCGAACTTGGCGCACCTGGCCTCCTCCGCGTTGCCTCTCCCCGCCCAGCGCGCCCAGCGCGGCGGCGCGCCCCTCTGCCTTCTTGACCGCGAGGGTTTGCCCCCCCCGGCCCGCCGAAGTCGCCTGGGGCGCGCCGCGCCCTGCGCCGCGGGGCTCCCCGCGCCGCATTCGCCGCGGCAGCGGCCGCCCGCCCGCGCTCCAACAAACCTTTTCGCGGCGAAGGCCGCGTCGAACGAGGCCGCCATGGGCGGCGATGGGG